CTGCCCGCCATGCGCCCCCCGGGCCGGCCGCGGGAGCCGCCGGGGACCGGGGGGCTCCGCTGAGCCCCCCCAGCCATGGGGCCGTGCCGGTGGGCGCCGCTCTGGGGCTTCGGCGCGGCGCTGCTGCAGGTCACCGTGCTGGCGGCGGGGCAGCGCCCGCAGGGGAGACCCCCGCGGCCGGAGGGGTGGTCGCCGGCCCCCTCACCCTCGTGGGCGCCCACGGCGGAGCCGGGAGCGCCGGGGGACAGCGAGGGCTCGGCGGCGGCGCTGGCGTTCCTGCGCACGGGCGATGCCGAGCGCCTGGCCCGGGCCAACTGCAGCAGCGGGGCTGTCGCGGCCGGTGCCCCCGGGTCCGGGCCACCCCCGGGGCTGCGGGCAGCCCTGCGAGCCGCCCCCGAGGCGCTGGCCCACGCCGCCAACTTCCTCAACATGCTCTTCCAGACCAACGACATCCGCGAGGCCAGCGTGGCCGAGGACGTGGAGTGGTACCAGGCGCTGGTCCGCAGCCTGGCCGAGGGGCACCCGTGGGTGCGCAGGGCGGTGCTGGCCCTCGACGCGCACCCGCTGGCCCCCAAGCCGCGGCTGATGCTGCAGGCCACCAAGGGCGACGGGCAGATCCTGCTGCAGGACGTGTCCAACGCCGCTCCCGACCTGGGCAACCTCAGCTGGGACAGCGAGTGGTTCAACGGCCTCAAGTCGCAGCGGCTCCCGGCGCTCCGCAAGCGGCTGCTCAGCAACGACCTGCGCAGCCTGGAGACCCCCAAGTGGCAGCGGGGGGACAGCTACCTGGGCGACCCGGGCCACGTGCGGTGGTCGCCGCCCTTCCTGGAGTGCCGCGAGGGTCGCTTCGTGCCCACCTGGGCCGTCACGCTCTCCTCCGCCTTCTACGGGCTCAAGCCCGACCTCAGCCCCGAGTTCAAGTGAGTGGAGCCCCGGAGGGGTTTGGGGGTGGGTGTAAAAAGGGGTGGGGGGTGTCCCCGTGTGTGTGCTGGGGGTGCGGCTGGATGTGTCACCCACCCCGTGTCCCTCTGCGGGTGCCGGCGGGTGTTTTTACACATCCCCAAGCACGCAGGTGACCCTCGGTCCCCTCCCGGTGTCCCCTGTGCTGCCCCACCTTGCGCTGCCAGCCCCTTGTCGCTGCTGCGTTGGGGGCGGGTGACCCCGCGATTGGGGGGTCCCTGCTGCACCCCACTGCGCGGGGAGCCGCAGAGGGAGGCGGTGGGGAGGGAAGGGTCAGCTGGGATCAGTCCCAGAGCCGGGACACGGCCCCATTTCCAAGGGGAAATCCGCGTCCCCTTTGGAGAACCCGGGCAAGAGCGGCCCCAATTTCCCCATCTTTTGCATTAAAATCCCTCTGGAGGGGCAGAATTCACACCCAGGAGCTGCTGCCTCTGCCCCTGGCCCAGCTCCAGCCCCCGAGGGACAACAGCCCTGTCCGGGGGTCTGGGGCCATCGCTGCCCGCGGCCACCGTCCCCCTGCTCCGAGCCCCAGCCCCACCGAGGCTCGGCCACTCCGGGTGGGTGGCACGGGGTGGGTGGGTGGGCACAGGGTCGCCCCACGCCACCCCCCGGGCTGACCCCGTCCCTGGTCACAGGGGGGTCGTGCGGGTGGACGTGGAGCTGCGGGACGTGGCCATCGACCAGTGCTCCAGCGGGCCGGGCTGGTTCTCGGACACGCACCGCTGTGACCTCAACAGCACCCAGGTACCGGCCCTGGCACCCCGCACCGCATCCCCTCCCCTGCCAGGACCTGGGCACCCCGCACCGCATCCC